CCCCGGCGCCCAGCCAATATGGCAGCCTCATTCAACAAGTTTGCAAGATCAGCTCCACTGAATCCAGGGGTTCTCATGGCGATCACATCAAGTGAGACATCGTTGTCAAATTTCTTGTTGCTAGCGTGAACCTTAAGTATCTCGGTTCTACCCTTGATGTCTGGAACATCGACAGTCACTTGCCGGTCAAATCGTCCTGGCCTGAGCAAAGCTGAATCCAAAATGTCTGCTCTGTTTGTAGCTGCAATCACGATGATACCGGTATTACCCTCGAAACCGTCCATCTCGGTCAGGAGCTGGTTAAGGGTCTGTTCTCTTTCGTCATTACCTCCACCGATACCAGTTCCTCTTTGCCTACCGACAGCGTCTATTTCATCCACAAAGACGATGCATGGAGCATTTTCCTTGGCTTTCTTGAAGAGATCACGGACCCTCGAGGCACCAACACCGACAAACATCTCCACAAACTCGGAACCCGAGATGGAGAAAAAAGGGACACCAGCTTCACCGGCAATTGCTTTTGCCAGAAGCGTCTTTCCGGTACCAGGAGGACCGACAAGGAGAACACCTTTAGGAATCCTGGCGCCGACCGCAGTGAATCTCTCAGGCTTCTTCAGAAACTCGACTACTTCCATGAAGTCTTGCTTGGCTTCATCAACTCCGGCAACATCATCGAATGTTACACCAGTGTTGGGTTCCATCTGGAACTTAGCTCGGGACTGACCAACACCGAGAGGGAAGCCCGGGCCACCAGGACCACCCATTCCTCCAGAGGATCTTCTCGAGAGAAGGAACAGACCACCGATCAAAATCAGTGGGAAGGCAAGATTTCCAATCAAGTTGAATAACAGTGAACCAGAGTCTTCTTGAGCATTATGAGCTGCGAAATCGATATTCTTCTCCCTCAACTTCTGGAGAAGCTCTTGACTCAATCCTGGCAGTTGAACACGAACACGTTGAATCCGGTTACCCAGCTCGGGAGAGACAGCCTCCACAATTGCTATTGTCCCGTTCTCGAACAGATCTACTTTGGTCACCCTGCCCTTGTCCAGATACTCAAGGAACCTAGAATAGGACATCCTAGACGATGAAACTCCTTGTTCATCTGCATACGCTTTTCCACTGCCCATCAAACTGATTCCCGCATTTCCAAGCAAGATTTTAAGAAAACCCCTCCTTTCTTGGTGTTTCTTCACATCCGAAGAAGCCTTCACAACACTAACCTTAGATGTCCTGATAGTTGAAGGATAGGTAGAGGAAAGGGTAAGCTTTCTGCCAGTAAAATCCTTGCATAACCTTTGTTTTGTCGCGTGGCTGGATAAGCCATTGCCGACGAGGCAAGCGGATGATGCTTCCATCTACATCAGAATCAAATTAGGTTATAGCAAGTCCATCAACTTGAGAAATGAAAATCGAAAAGAAAGCAAAAGTCTTTACATCGCAAAGGGTGCAAGAAGTAAGTTCCTAGTAACAGGATAGTAGTGTATCTGCAACTTGTGAAGCCGTATTGGCCAAATTGAAATTCACAAAGGAAATAAAGATACGGACTTTTCTACTCTACTTCGTGGACAAAGATTATTATACACATGAATCGCGACAAAGACCATAAGAGATGAAATTTTCAAGGGGTCAAGATAACTTTGAACTAAAATCAAGAGACCCAGTCTCGGATTGAAGCTCGATGAGCAAATCAGCCAGCAAAATTAAGCTTAAAGTTGGGAAATTCGAGCCCGCCGAAGAAAACCCATTTCACAATCAAGCAGATGAACACGAATTCTTCATATGAACAAACGAAAGAAGAGAAAGGTTGTCTCTTTGGTTGGGGAGAGACAGAAGGGGAGAGAGAGAGAGAGAGAGGCGTACCAGTCGCTGAAGAAAGGAGCTCCGGAGGTTGTTTGGAGGAGACAGAGCGTTGCAGGGGGGGGATTTTTGAAGGGAGGAGATGTGGTTCGAGAGGAGCGTACGTGTCTTTTCCTCTATTGCCTCTTTATTTATTTATTTATTTTATTTTATGAAAGGTTTCGCCTTTCTTGGACCGAGATTTTCTTTGTATTAACCAGAAAAATTGTGTTTTTGGTAATATGCAGTTAAAAACCTCGTGTCGTTCGGGAAAACATGCGGGTCGGTATAGCAGATAATAATGTCACGATTTTTGGGAATGGAATCCTAAAACATCACGCAGTCTAGATTTCTTCATAGCCGTTATATATATGGAGCGTGCTCCTTTTGGTTTACTTTACTCCGCGTTTCTACTTCTCCGGGAAGCAAAGCTCCAAGCTTTCCAAGAAACTCAAAGAAAATGGAAGAAAGTTTCGTAAAGGAGAGTAAGGAATTCAGGCTTAATCCACAGAAACCCTAGTTCTGGATTCGATTTCCTATTCATCTACAGAAGAGCCGCACCTAAAAGCGCAAAAAGATTCATTTTTCTTGTTCTCTTTCTCATTCTTTTCTTCCTCTTAGAGCAATCGCTTTGTCCCACAGCCCACTCAACGAATCTCTCGTCTCTTTTCTCGCTTTTCGATTTTCTGCGCAATATATATGCAGAAAAGGGAAAATGGGTATCACGATAATCGTCGGTTCCTCGAACATTGTAGGAGAAGAAGAAAAAGAAAGTGAGGAAGAGGAGCTGAGATTGGTCGGCTATGGCGAGCTCCAGCGGTGGGAGAGGGGGAGAGGATGGTCGGCCGCCGCAGATGCAACCGGTGCGGTCGTTGTCGCGGAGGATGACGCGAGCCGGGACGATGATGATCGACCGTCCAAACGAGGACGAGAGCGCCATTGATAGCGAGCTCGTGCCTTCTTCTCTCGCCTCCATCGCTCCGATTCTGCGAGTCGCTAATGACATCGAGAATGATAACCCTAGGGTTGCTTACCTCTGTATGCTTTTAACCTCTCTCTCTCTCTTGATTTGGTTCTTAGTTGCTCTCCTCGTGGGGGCTTCTTTTTGTGTTTTTATTAGTCCATTGATGCATTCGGAAGGGATTAGTGTTATGATTTTCTGGGTTCCAATAATTCACTTGGAATTGACTCAATAAGGAGTTTGAAAGTTTCTTTTATGTTGCTCAAGTATTTGGATGTTTTGCATAATTCCGTATTGCTTTGCTTTTTTTTTTTTTGCATCATATTAAAGGGCAAGACCTTCTAGCCCTGCTTTGTGGTGTATATATGTTTGTATTTGTGAGACTTTCCTGTGTGTTTGTTTGAACTCGGCATGTTGTAGGATGTTGTGTCTGAAAACCTTAGAGCAGCTGATTCAAGTAGCCGTTTGTTTCCTTGACCAGCAAAGAATGGACTCACATGGATGATACCATCTTCCTTGAGCTATGTTTCTGGCTTTTTATTTGTGTCTACTGTTATCTTTGTGGATGCAGTTGACATACTGTTTTCATCTGTGTTTTCTGTTGTCTGAATTTTTTATCTCCTTTTCTTTTTCATTTTTTATGGTTGTTTAGTGTCTCGTATTTTTGCTTGTGGTTCGACTGAGAATATCCAGTTCTAACTGTTCTGTATTCTGTCTGATTAGGTCGCTTCCTTGCATTGGAGAAGGCTCATAGAATGGATCAAACATCTAGTGGGCGAGGTGTCCGTCAATTTAAGACCTATCTGTTGCACAGATTAGAAAGGGTATGCCTCGTAATTGAAGTGTTTTTTTTTAATGTTTATTTAGTTACACAATCAAATGCAGTTCAGGAAAATTTGTCATTTGATACTGATTGTTTTATTTGGCGAGTCTGGCCAATTCCTTCATTGAACTAGTTTTGGCATTATCTGTAAGTTATCTAGGAATGTGATTTCCTGCTACCTAAGCTAAAGGCTCAAAACCTTACGTTTGTACATATCTTGGGATGATCTTTCTTGAATTTTACTGTTTTAGGAGGAAGAGGAAACAGAACGTAAGTTGGCTAAGAGTGACCCAAGAGAAATTCAACTGTACTATAAAAACTTCTACGAGAAATATATCAAAGAAGGAGAAGCGACCAAAACACCGTGAGATCTCTTCTTGAATCTTGTAGACATTATAGTATAAAGATATAAATGCTCTCTGTTGACTCTTGCTTTTTTATCTTCTGTGCCATTGTAGGGAGGAGATGGCTAAGCTTTACCAGATAGCGACTGTGTTGTATGATGTTCTAAGGACCGTGGTTCCTGAGTCAAGAATAGATGAGGAGGTTTATTAATGTCCTTTGCAGCCCTGAAATAAAACTTTCATGTAATGAATTTTACATGGAGGTCTCTGAAATTGTGAAATTTGACGTTAAATCTGTTGTTGGCATGTAGACCCTCAGATATGCCGACGAAGTTGAAAGAAAGAAGGAGCAGTATGAACACTATAACATTCTTCCGCTGTATGCTGTAGGGGCCAGAACTGCAATAATGGAGCTCCCCGAGGTTGTTTTGTGTAAATCTTATTGTTTATTTTGCTTCTGTATGTCGCCTGAAGTATCAATTATTTTGAACTCTTACTGATCTTCTTGCTGTGTAAATATAGATTAAAGCGGCTTTTAGTGCTGTACGTAATGTGCAAGGTCTTCCTCGACCGAGATTTCATTCGACCTCGGCTAACCCAGATGAAAAGCTGAAGGAAAGAGCTCAGTCTTTTAACGACATTCTTGAATGGCTTGCATTGGTTTTTGGTTTTCAGGTATGTCAACTCCTTGCTACTCTCATCCTGTAATTTTAGGGTTTTTGGTAATATATTTCTTCATTTCTCTTCCCATATTTTATTCTGGTTAACCAAAATCAGAAAATGTTTCTTTCTTATTCTTATATTTTTTCCATTCTATTTGCGCTAAAAAGTTAGAGAGAGAAGAAGAAGAGAACACAAAATAAATGATCTTCTAGCGCGTGTGTGTGCTTGTTTTAATTTTTAATTGCATGTTTGACCAAAATGAAAAGAACGAATTCCTCTAACTTTGTTGTTTGCTTCCTACTTTCCTTGGTGAAAGAGAGGAAATGTAGCCAACCAGAGGGAACATCTTATACTGCTGCTTGCCAACATCGACGTAAGAAAGAGGAATCTCGAGTCTTATGATGAGGTAGATATATTTTGGTGTTCAGTGCAAGACTCAGGTGATCATTTTTTCCAGTATGTTATATACAATTTGTTAACTCCAAGGCAATTTCAGCTCAAGCCAAGCACTGTGGAGAAGTTGATGGAGAGAATTTTCAAGAATTACAGGTCATGGTGCAAGTATTTGAGATGTGAATCATATATCAGGTATCCTCTATTAACATTTCTTGTATTAATCAAGTTCTCAACAGTCTTGCACTAAATTTTATGTCCATTGGTTTATTATTTTCTATATTGACAGGTTTCCTTCAGGTTGCAACAAACAGCAGCTAAGTCTTATATACCTTGGTCTTTATCTTCTCATATGGGGCGAAGCATCAAATGTCCGCTTCATGCCTGAATGCCTTTGCTACATATTCCACAATGTAAGTTCTTTTGTTCTGCAAATCTTCCTTTTCTCCGTTTTGTTTCTATGATAAACTAATATAGTTGGTGTCTCTGAAGTTCTGTTATTACTTTGACACGTTTCATACAAGAAAATAATTGTATTCTTTTCTCCAAATTGTGGTTTAGATGGCCAATGAAGTCTATGGAATTCTGTTTAGCAATGCTCACCATGTAACTGGAGACACATTTGAAGCAGCCGCGCCTGATGAAGAAGCATTTTTAAGAAATGTTATAACACCAATCTACCAAGTGTTACGCAAGGTATGTAACTTTCTGACTTGTCTCGCTTATTTTTCCCATTTATTGCTTCTGCTACGAAAACCATTCTCTTTGGTGGACAAAAAGGAAGCCCGGAGAAACAAAGGGGGCAAGGCAAGCCACTCAAAGTGGAGAAACTATGATGATCTAAATGAATACTTTTGGTGAGTTTAATTGAGGTTGATATTTTTTGTGCATATTGGTAAAATGGTGTTATCTGAGAAACTTCAATTGTTTTATTTTTTTTTATGTTTTGATTTTTTAAGGGATAAGAGGTGTTTCAGGCTTAAATGGCCAATGAACTTTAAGGCAGATTTCTTCATCCACTCTGACGACAAACCACAACCTCCAAATGAGGTATGAGTGTTTGCTTATCTTTAGCTTTATCTTTGATGTTGAATTTCCATGCCCCTTTTTTGAAAGATACAGTATATTCAGTTTCTTTTTACATTTCCAGTTCCAGTGCCTCTTTGCATCAACATGTGTGGTTTTCTATGTCCCATATGCTTACTTTGTTTTTGTTATGCAATCAAAAGAATCATCGAGAAATTTTCATTTATTGCAGAGACCTGACCAAGTTTCTTACGGGAAAAGGAAACCCAAAACTAACTTTGTCGAAGCCCGCACATTTTGGCACCTCTATCGAAGTTTTGACCGGATGTGGATTTTCCTTGTGCTGGCTCTTCAGGTATCTTAGGATCTTTACTTCATCTTTTCTCTGCAGATTAATAATATGTTTTGATTCTATGATTTTCAGGCTATGATAATAGTTGCCTGGAGTCCCTCAGGCTTACTTGCCTTCTTTTATAAGGATGGCTTCCGCACTATATTGACCATCTTCATCACTTCAGCTTTCCTTAATCTTCTGCAAGGTTGATGTCAATTTCTTTTCATTTTGTCATGAGAGCTTAATCTGGACCTCTGTTCCAAGTTGACATTATCATTCTTTTTGTCTCTGAAATGCAGCAACTCTGGATATAATTCTTAGTTTTGGGGCCTGGAGAGGCCTAAAATTCACTCAAATACTGCGTTACTTCTTCAAATTTTTAATGGCTGCCATGTGGGCAGTCGTTTTGCCGATTACGTACTCAAAGTCGGTGCAGAATCCAACTGGACTTATGAAGTTCTTCAGTAGCTGGGTTGGGAGTTGGTTGGACCAGTCATTATACAATTATGCTGTTGCCTTTTATGTATTACCAAATATTTTGGCTGCATTATTCTTCCTTCTTCCACCTTTACGGAGAATCTTGGAGCGATCAAACATGCGGATTGTCACATTTATCATGTGGTGGGCACAGCCAAAACTGTACGTCGGTAGAGGAATGCATGAGGACATGTTCTCGCTTTTCAAGTAAGAAACTCTGACGATATTCATTGTTATATTCCTCTTTCTCCCGAACCAGGAGGAGGGATTCAGCAGTTTCTGCAGGTCTTCTTTTTGGTGCATCGTTTTTTCTTTTCTTGTTGCATTTCTTCTTTTTACTGGGACAAAGTACTTGCCACAGTTTTTTTCTTTTCTCTATTTTTTTCTGGTTGTATCCCTCTTTCTCCATTATGTTTACGCTTCTGAATGATTAATTAGACAAAATTTGGCTGTCTCAGGTATACATTCTTTTGGGTCATGCTGCTATTGAGCAAGCTCGCCTTTAGTTACTATGTGGAGGTGATTTAGCTTCTTGTGCCGACACTTGTTCCTTTCCAACTTGTTTCTATTGTTCATCTAGCTTCACTGTCTTTTTCTTTTGTCGCCTGATCTTTTACCTTTACTGACCTCTAGGCAGGTGTTTCAAATCCTATGTAACATAGATACATACAAGCTATAAATATTTGATGATTCAATGTTTTGGCGCATATTTTTTTTTTATTGCATATGTATTTTAACCTCTAATGTTGTTGATTTTATTTGAACAGATATTACCGCTCGTTAATCCAACAAAGGTGATATGGGATTTGCAAGTCGTTAACTACCAGTGGCATGAGTTCTTTCCGAATGGTAATAATCTTTTAGCTCAGCATTCTTGCTTACTGCTAGTTGCTATTCTAATTCATGTGTTATCTCCATGTAGCCACTCATAACATAGGAGTAATTATCTCGATTTGGGCCCCAATTGTCTTGGTAAGTACACTATATTGAACAACTTGACATGAATTAATTTCATGAGTTTGCCACAATCTAACATTGATTCGTGTTTAGGTTTATTTCATGGATACACAAATATGGTATGCCATCTTTTCCACTCTGTTTGGTGGGATTTATGGAGCTTTCAGCCATTTGGGGGAGGTAATTGTTGTTTTGCTCCTAATGTGTTTACAAATTTGTCTAAACCAAAAGCAATTTTGTGATATTTTGACAATATATATAATTTCCTCGTTTTTTCAATTCCAGATTCGCACACTTGGGATGTTAAGGTCCAGATTTAAGTTTGTTCCATCTGAATTCTGTAGTAAACTTACACCACTATCCTACGGGCATGCAAAAAGAAAGCACCTGGTATTGTTAACTCTATGCCGCCTCCTTTTTTTTGTTGTTGTTGGAGTGGTCTGAATTTGTGTCTGCCCAACCCTTTTCTTGGTGTTTCTCTGTACAACCAGCTAATGCTGCTAGTCTGTTTCCTAATTATTTTCATGTCATTCATATAAATACTAAATTTTATTACTGAGAAAACATTTCAAGATAATTTCTTGATTTGAGAAATGCAGGAAGAAACAGTGGACGAGAAGGACATTGCAAGGTTCTCACAAGTGTGGAATAAGTTCATAAACACTATGCGAGATGAGGATCTGATCAATGATAGGTTTAACATCTTCTCAGTGATTGACTCTGTCAATATTTAAAGTTTTAAGGTCATTTATAAATAATATACTCCTGTTTCCTTGCTTCTTTTTGGACTCAGAGAAAGAGATTTGCTGCTTTTACCTTCTTCTTCTGGAGACGTCTCTGTTGTACAATGGCCGCCTTTCTTGCTTGCTAGCAAAGTAAATACTTACTGTTTACTCTGGCAACTTTTGCTTATGATCCTTATTCTCTTCTTGATAACCTTTTATGTTTTTTCCTTTTGGTCATAGATTCCAATAGCACTAGACATGGCAAAAGATTTCAAGGGAAAGGAGGACGCTGATTTATTCAAGAAAATCAGAAGTGAATATTATATGCATTATGCTGTGATTGAAGCTTATGAAACCGTGAGGGACATTATATACGGTCTTCTAGAAGATGAATCTGATAAAAGGTGGAGTAGTTTTCCCTCCTTTTCTATGAAAGTTCCCCCATCACCTGATTTGTTCATTCTGGTTTTTAGTCTTAAAAAGCCTAAAATATGCAGTGTTGTTGTTTCTCTATGTATACAACCAGGATTGTGAGGGAGATTTGCTATGAAGTAGATGTCAGCATACAGCAACATAGATTCTTAACTGAGTTCCGAATGAGCGGTCTGCCTCTGCTCAGTGATAAACTGGAGAAGTTTCTAAGCATCCTGGTAACATGAACTTCTTCCCCTTCTGTTCATTGGCTTCTAATGGCTACTGTTTATTTGGATTGGCTCCTCATGTTGTTTACTGAAAATTCTTGTCTTGTTGACAGCTAAGTGATTATGATGATGTTGAAACGTACAAGTCTCAGATAATCAACATCCTCCAGGACATTATTGAAATCATCACACAGGATGTTATGCTTAATGGTCACGAGTAAGTCCTGATTGCTGCAACTTATGCATATTTCGACTAATTTTATATACCGAAGAGCTATCCTTTTATCACATTTTTTTTTCTTTTCTAGTTTTCAACTATCCTGTTTAACATAGAGAAAATTTCCCACCATGGAAATATATCTGAAAATGCTTACTATTTTTTCCTGTAGAATTCTTGAAAGGGCCCATTTACAGACTGGTGATATTGAGAGTGACAAGAAAGAGCAGAGGTTCGAGAAAATAAATCTTCGTCTGACACATAATTTATCTTGGAGGGAAAAGGTATTATGCACTCAAATTTTCTATCTCATTTGAGCAAACCAGGCCTTCTGATATTTGATCATATTTCTATCTCGTTATATTTTGTGCCGGCTGTGTAGGTTGTTAGACTTTGGTTACTTGTTACTGTTAAAGAATCTGCGATAAATGTACCCCAAAATTTGGAAGCACGACGCCGTATCACCTTCTTTGCAAATTCCCTATTCATGAAATTGCCAGATGCTCCACGAGTTCGTGACATGCTGTCCTTTAGGTTAGTTATTCTATCATCTGATTTGTCTTTAGCTAAAAATACATCAAGAAATAAATGTACAACTTCACTATTACGAAAACTGAATTAGCTATAGTTCTAAATCCTAAGCATGACTCAAATCTGCTTCTTGATCTGCTGTTTTTCATTGCCATTCATTATGATTCTACTCATTGCACCATCTCAACTAATGGTGTTCTTTTTTTTTTCCAAAATTCTTTTGTGGGCGTTCCGTTGAAATGTTCTATACATGATTAACATTCTTTTGCCAACTTATGCCTAGCGTTTTAACTCCTTATTACAAAGAAGAAGTGCTTTATTCCGAGGAGGAACTCAATAAGGAAAATGAAGATGGAGTGACAATGTTGTTTTACCTGCAGAAAATATATCCTGGTAAGCTTCATACAAGTAAATTTCTAATATGTTTATGAGAAATTCAAACTTACGGACTGAAAATGTCTGTCTACCAGAGGAATGGTCAAACTACTTAGAACGTGTAGGGGATTCTAAGCGAAACTTTGCTGAGAAAGACAAGATAGATCAACTTCGTCAGTGGGTATCTTACAGAGGCCAGACACTTGCCAGGACAGGTATACTGTCAGAAATGTGTGAAATTTTACATATAATGTTTGAATATGTTCCTCAGTCGCTAATACATTTGCTTCTTTACTCTTGCTAGTAAGGGGAATGATGTACTACAGACAAGCTCTAGAACTTCAGTGCTTCCAGGAATTTGCAGGAGATGATGGTTTGTACTTCCTTTCGATTTTCAGATTTCACTGTGTCAAACCTTTCTGGTCATTAAGGAACAGTAATACCGGGGAAGGAGTGGCAGGATCATCTGCGTGGAATTTATCTATTTATTTTGGAGATTGCAGTGGCAGAAAGATTAGCACCATTTCTTACATTTAAATTAGTAACACCGAGCTTCTTTTGATGACATGCAAAATGGTGATTATAAATGTAATCTGACAGTTCCAAAAAGCTTTGTTATTATCCTCTAAATACAATCCACCCGTTGGCATTCGATAGGTTAAAACCCTCAAAGGTTTGTCTGTCCAAATTAAATGCTTGAACGGTTAACCTAGCGTTAGATTAACATGTGTGTTATGAACTCTGTTTTGCTTGTGCAGATAAGCACAGTGGCTACCATGCCATGGAAACAAATGAGGATGACCAAAAGTCTTTTAATGATCGTACGCGAGCTCTTGCAGATTTGAAATTCACATATGTGGTATCGTGTCAGGTTTATGGGAACCAGAAAAAGTCCAGCGATCTTCGGGATCGGAGTAGTTACAATAACATTTTACAGCTTATGCTGAAGTAAGAAAAAGCTCCCATGATAGAAATAAGAACTTTATGCTTATTATTATGGCTTACCGTAATTATACTTTATGGATAGGTATCCATCTCTACGTGTTGCCTACATAGATGAAAGGGAGGAGACAGTAAATGGAAAATCGCAGAAAGTATTCTACTCTGTGCTTCTTAAGGGATGTGATAAGTTAGATGAGGTATGAAAATAGCCTCCACTCATATTTCGTTCATCTTTTATCTTGTTTCCTACTTATTCTGTTGCTTCATTTGCTCTAATCTATTATAAGAACCAATGTGGGTAGATAATACCATGGCATATTATGTTTATGTCCACAATTGCTATAAATTTGAAGTCATGAAAAACAATTTTCAAGTTTACAAATGTTAGTGTGATGCGGTACCACATACGAACCAGAAACACTAAAGAACTTTGTTCCTCATCTTACCAGGAAATATATCGCATTAAACTTCCTGGTCCTCCTACCGAAATTGGAGAAGGAAAGCCTGAGAACCAAAATCATGCCCTGATTTTTACACGTGGTGAAGCACTTCAGACCATAGACATGAACCAGGTACTGTCTCAGTCATTTTAAAGATCAATCTATTCTCTTAGTTCTACAATCTTCTTATCCCTATTTTTGCTTTCCAGGACAATTACTTTGAAGAGGCCTTCAAAATGAGGAATGTGCTGCAGGAATTTATACAAGATTGCCGTGGCAAGAGAAAACCTACAATTTTGGGTCTTAGGGAACACATATTTACTGGAAGGTATAACCTTGATAGTACTTGCTGTCTCATGGCTGTCTCCATATCGTGGAACTAAAACATATTGCTATCTCGGTAATTGTAAATGGGCATTCTCAATTTCTTTCGTCTGACTTCTTTATTCTTCTGCAGTGTTTCATCACTGGCATGGTTCATGTCAAATCAGGAGACAAGTTTCGTTACCATTGGCCAAAGAGTTTTGGCAAATCCTCTGAGGTATGTTCCCATCTTTTGATAAGGGTGAAAGTCAGCGTCATCTCTGTTACTTTTATCAGTACCCTTTAAGCATGTTCAAATAACTTCATCCATCTCAAACCAACACAAATATTCTTTCTGCAGACTTCCCATGTCCTCTGTTTTTCTTTCCTAATTTAATTTTTGGGTCAGAAGAGTTCATGTCTTTCCATTGTTGAGAAGATTGGTTCCATTCTTTCATGCTTTTACTTGAGGTTTTGTACCTCTAGAAGGAAGATTAGCTGAATATAACTTTGTTCCACTTACTCATGGTTCTGTTTTACAGGGTCCGTTTCCATTATGGTCATCCAGATATCTTTGATAGAATTTTCCACATAACGAGGGGTGGCATTAGCAAGGCTTCAAGGATCATAAACTTAAGCGAAGACATCTTTGCAGGTAGAGAATGGTTCTGAATGATGAAAAAAATTATTTATAGCTGCACTGTGGTGGCTAATCATGTATCATCCAGGGTACAATTCAACTCTCCGTGGGGGATACGTCACACATCATGAATATATCCAAGTTGGAAAGGGACGTGATGTAGGAATGAATCAAATTTCCTTTTTTGAAGCCAAAGTTGCAAATGGGAACGGAGAACAGACTCTTAGTCGTGATGTTTATCGTCTGGGCCGCCGGTTTGATTTTTACAGGATGCTCTCATTCTACTTCACCACAGTCGGTTTCTATTTTAGTAGCATGGTATGCCAAAATCCTTTTTTCTACATCTAATCCAACTAAATATTTCCTCATTAGCTTGTTCGGGTACAAATCCAGGCTAACCAGACTTTTTCACAACAAATAAATTTTCTTTAAACATCTTATCTCCTCACCATGCTTCGGAATAGCATTGATTTGCATTATTCCTCTCATCTTTTTTATAAGATACAAGATCTATATGCATGTCCAGTTGAAATCTCAATTTTCTAGATCAGTAAAATTTGAGTTTTCTGTTTCAGATGACCGTGCTTACGGTGTATGTGTTCCTTTATGGACGTCTTTACATGGTTATGAGCGGGTTGGAAAGAGAGATCCTTGAAAGTGCAAGAGTACATCAGTCGAAAGCCCTTGAAGAGGCATTGACAGCCCAATCTGTTTTTCAGTTGGGTTTCTTGATGGTTCTACCAATGGTTATGGAAATAGGACTCGAAAAAGGGTTTCGCACCGCTCTAGGTGATTTTATCATTATGCAACTTCAGCTTGCCTCTGTTTTCTTCACATTTCAGCTCGGAACAAAAGCACATTACTTTGGGAGGACGATTTTACATGGAGGTTCTAAGTACCGAGCAACAGGTCGAGGATTCGTGGTTTTCCATGCAAAGTTTGCTGATAATTATAGGTTGTATTCTCGAAGTCATTTCGTAAAGGGACTGGAGTTGGCCATACTACTGGTTGTCTATCAAGTCTATGGGAATTCGTACCGAAGTTCAAATCTTTATATGTACATTACCTTCTCAATGTGGTTCCTAGTAGCTTCATGGTTGTTTGCACCATTTATATTCAATCCGGCCGGCTTTGAATGGCAAAAGACAGTGGACGACTGGACTGACTGGAAAAGATGGATGGGAAACCGTGGTGGCATTGGAATTTCTGTTGAAAAGAGTTGGGAATCATGGTGGGACGGTGAACAAGAACACCTCAAACACACAAATATAAGGGGAAGGGTTCTCGAGATAATTCTCGCTCTTCGTTTCCTCCTTTACCAGTATGGAATCGTCTACCATCTGAATATTGCCCATCGCCACACCGACTTTCTGGTATGAGAAAACTTTTGTTCTCTGTCAGCTCTGATTCTTCTTCTGCTGTCTTCAGAAATCTAACCGGTTTACGGCTTTCCTCTTGCAGGTTTACGGCCTCTCTTGGGTTGTCTTGCTCACGGTTCTACTCGTCCTAAAGGTAAAGACTTTGGAAAAACGAATCTGGTATGGAAAACGAAAACTCATTTGCTGATGTTTTTCTATGGCTTATCATTTGCAAACTGAATCTGTGATTTACAGCTGGTATCGATGGGTAGAAGGAGATTCGGGACAGATTTTCAGCTAATGTTCAGGATTCTCAAGGCTCTTCTCTTCCTCGGGTTCTTGTCAGTCATGACAGTATTATTCGTAGTTGCGGGCCTCACAATTCTAGATGTATGTGCCGCCATCCTGGCTTTCTTGCCTACTGGTTGGGCGATTCTTCTTGTAAGTCTCTTCAATTTCCAGCTAACGTTATCCAATCAGAAAACCAACCTCAGAGTTTGAAACAAAAGATATTAGATTGGTGGGTTATTGATCAAAACAACTTCTAACATGATGTTGTTGCATTTTTGAAGATTGGACAAGCCCTTAGAAGCGTGTTGAAGGGACTCGGGTTCTGGGAATCGATAAAGGAGCTGGGGAGGGCGTATGAGTACATAATGGGGCTGGTGATATTCACGCCCATAGCTGTATTGTCGTGGTTCCCTTTCGTCTCGGAGTTCCAAACACGTCTTCTGTTCAACCAGGCATTCAGCCGTGGCCTCCAGATCTCCATGATTCTTTCTGGAAATAAAGACAAGCAGGCCCCTTCCTCCTCCAAGTAGCAGCTTTCTTCCTCTCTTTTATGTACTCCGTTGTATTATTTGAAACCACTGGCTGTCCGTTCCTTTGTTTAGTTATTTACCTTTTTCACTCCAAGATGAGATTATACAGAAATTTGCTGATTGTTTAGACATGAAGACTTGATCATCTGACTGGAAATGTTGTTGTATGTAAAAAAAAACCTCTGCCTTAGATGCAATATCCCAAGTCTACGTGGCATAAACTGTCGGTCAACCCCGACTTTGGATTTTGTTGACCTTCTTCTCTGCCTCTCTCCTCATCTCGGATATGATGAGTTGGAGAATTAGACTTGTTCACGGATCGATTGTTCTCAATTGGTCATTGTCGCGTCTAAGGATTTCCGTTTCGAAGGAAAACGGTCAAGCGAACGGTATTTTTCATTGGCGACGCTGTTGGGAGGTAAGCTTCGATGCCGAAACTCTCTAGTCGTCGCAGATTAGGGTTTTCATGGAATTGAGAATTGAGAGAGTGGGTACTCATGAACAGGCAAAAAGCTTTGGTCTTTTCTATAGAAATGGAAGCTACGATGGATGAATAGTCGGATTAGTGCGGCCAGACCCCGATTTAGTGTCAACTGTTTTTCATAATTTACAGAGTCAAGAGATCCTGGAGCCGTCTAATTCAAGATTTGGTGCCTTAATAGGTTGATTTTAGAGTTGGGTCTCTGCGTCTGAATCTATGGGTCCATGTCTTTCAAGATTTAGGGCTCGCATCAACTCTCTTAGATGTGGCAATGGCTTTCAAAGCGCGAGATATTACCACTCGTTAAATGAAATTAGGGTTTCGTTTTGGAGCAAACACGCTGTTCATGCCATTGTTTGTTGCTACGAGTTTGCTTAGATATGGAAGTAGGATTCTGAGAAGATGATCCTGTCATGCCCTGGTTCTCCAAACTCTGCAAATTAGCCGCAAATGCAATGGCTTAGCCAGCCAGATCTAGAACCCATTGTTTCGTATCTTTGAGTCCCGTGTCTTATCACTCATCTTATGCGCTTACCGACTACATAATTTTGCTTTCATTACACAAGGTTTTGCCGCCATGACAGTCTCATATGGGCAAGCAGCAAAACATGTTCTTCTTGTCGTAATATGCTCTTGTTGTTGTATTACTGTAAACAGTCTTTCTGCTTCTGAGCTTGTCAATGTCAACCGGTAACCTGCTTATGGAAATTTAGGCTTGGAAGAAAGGCAATGCTCTCTTTTTTGCATTATCTTGATGGCAGATATTCCTAGCTAAGAAGCAATGAAGAATCTGAATCCCTAACTCTAAGGCCAATGCAGCAGGATGGGAACAAAAGCCATGGCACTGCAAAGTCTAATATGTGGATGGATTAAAGTGTGGATTCCCATCGGACGGGTTATCGACTGTTACATACAAATGGTGGGGTAGCAGCTCCGAGGGAAGAAATGATGCCAAAGATCGAGGAGAAAGCATAGAAGGTAAATTTCAAGCTGATACGAATGGAGATGACATGAAACAAGAAGATGGAACTGCCGGTGATGAATTTGCCTCCGTAAGACCAGATTCGTTGGTAGCTGTCAGGAAGAGAGTAGCAGAAGAAGGAAGAGAAGCTGATAAACTATGCCTGGACCGAGGATTTGGTTCGAAGGAACTTAACAGGAGAGATCAAGCTCTCCTCTCCCAGGTATTCAAATCTCCACTGCCAAAGGATTGGGTGAGTAGCTCTTGATGGAACTCTGTTAAAGGTTAAAGCTTTTGATGGAACTCTGTTCAAAGCTAATTGCTTTTATAGGTTAGAGAACATGAATTCATTGTTAAAACTTAAAAGGGTGAAGCTCTAAGCTTGTGATGGAACTCCGCTCAAAGCTAATTGCTTTGCTTCCCAAAGACCATGCTCTCTATATCTCTCAGTTCTTACACACCAGGAAAAACAGCAGGAACATGATATATAGAAATATGTTAATTTAAGCATTGTGAAAGTGGTTTGTTTTGTGTGCGTGTATATATATATATATATATATATATATAATTAAATAGAACATATGTTCACTTTCCACCAAACAATTTTCTAATCCACCGGGCTATGTGAAAAGAGCTTGTTTAATTTATATATTTTTTTCCAGACATTAGTGAGATAATTGATGATATTTTTAATGATGTTCCATATATACTTTTCTATAGTATTTTACAAAATTCACTAAATATACACAATTCAGATTTTTTTTTATTAAATAAAAGAATGTGAATTAGTATCCAAAAAGTCAACCCGTAAAATAAATTATATATAAATTATTAAGTTTAATTTATTTTTTTTAAAACGAACTTGATGTGCATTGTATCTCATATTCATTTGAAAATTTATTCGTTTGTCTTATAATCAAACATTATGTCTCCAATAATTGTACCACATGAACATATTTATTTACTAAATTATCTCTTAAAAACGTTTATTAAACCTTTAAGTATTTTAAATTGGAAACAGTAAATGTTATTTTATTTATCTATTTTAGTAATTTCTTGGCACCGAAAGCTATATATTACTGATAAGATTTGTTTGTCCCACTACGAATTTCGTACACTAAGTCAAATAAAAAAATATAAAAAAATAGAATATCAATGTTTATGATTCGAAAGATACGATACTTTTCTCTATTTCATTGTGTGTGTGTGTGTGAATAAGCATGGTATTTTTCTTAGTTCAAGAAATTCATAAACATATCAGAATATATATATATATATATATATATAAATTAATTTTTCTAGTTTTTTTATTGTAATATTCTCATAATTTAAAAACCGGTAGATGTGAGTAAGAATATTAGAGTCTAAACCCTAGGATGAGAAAGTGATGTAATATCTCAAATATTTTATACACGAAGATGGGAGCATTTAGTCAAAAGTAAATCTCTAATGACACAATTTTGTGTAGAGTTTGTAGATTCCTTCATTTTGAAAGTCTCTTTAGGATTAAAAGATAAAGATTATTCTATCACGAAAATTGTCACATTAAACAAACAAACAATAATGTTGGAAAAAGAATATTAAATAAACGATTGAGAGTGATTCTCTGAAAAAATAGGGGCTATAATAATACTTCTTTTTATAGATTTACCTATTTATAATTCCACTCACTAAATTATATTATAATATAAACACACTAATCTCTACGATTTTACGAAATATGATCAGTTCTTATATCCATCGATTTGTTTTATTTAGTTTGCATAAAACGCTGATAAATGTGTTGATCTTATATTGTTGCTGACAATAATCTAACGGTACCTTTCAAATATATATTTTTTAAATCTATTGATTCCGACATATCACGTTTCACTTCAAATGTTTTTTTTTTTTGGTTCCATTCACAAAGAAACTTGATATATGTATAATTCAAAAGAAATCTCAAGTAGATCTACTTAGATTATATATGAATTTGGCTGAAATTATCTTGTATTGTTAAATAATAGAAAAAGCATGGAGATAAATAAAAAATAAAAGAAAAGAAAAAGAGTATAAAACCCAAAAGAGAGGAAACCCATCATTACAAGCATCACTATGAAGCAGCCCACATTACCCCCCAAAAACCCTAAATTCCAAAACCATTCTCTCTCTTTTTAATATTCTTTACTTTTTTTTGTTGATTTTGATTTGGTTTGCTTTCTTTTCTCCACAAGACAGAGAGCTTTTTTCCTCTTATTTTCCCTCCTTTTTCCAACCCACAAAACCCAAATCTCAGACAAAGAGACAGTCTCTCTGAGATTTGGAGACAGAAACAGGAGAAAAAAAAAAAGGAAGAGAGAAGGGTTAAATGAAAAGATTCTGTCTCTGTGTTTCATGAAATGGGCATCAAAATCTGCAGATTCAAGACCCTCCTCCTCCTCCTCTTCCTCTGCTTCTTCCCAGGTCACTCTCGTTTCTTCAGTTTCTTATGTACCCATTAATCATTTGCCTTGGCAATTTCATTGCTTTTTAGATGTGATGACATTGGGTACCCCCCCCCTTTGTTCTTGTTTGCCCTATTGTTTCTGTGTTCTGGGATTTGTAGATTCAATCTGATTTTTTTTTTCCAAGTTAAAAACCATGGTGTTTTCATTTACTTATGGGCACAACAATAAAGTCAGATACATTAACTCGTCCTCATTAATGCAATTCTAAAGTCCCTACCTTTACAGTTTGGAGGACAGAATTTTCAACCCTTTTTTTTTTCCGTTTCCACAAAGGAAACGTTTTTCTAGAAATTTGATTTCACCAGCCGTAAAAGGAGAGAAATTGTATTTGATTCACCAAATTCGCCACAGGTGCAAATGCAAGGAGACAGCTTGAAGCGCAAACTCCCCAAAAGGACATCACCACCCCATTAGCCACTAACCCTACGGTGGGGGTCACACCCTCCACCAGCACCGTCGTCCCTGACTCGGACTCCGACTCTGACTCGGTCACGACCACTCCCTTGACCATACCCAACCCACCTCCCCTCTACCCGGCCGCCAGCTGGTGCGTGGCTAGCCAGAACGCTCCCAAGTTGGCTCTGCAAGAGGCTTTGGATTACGCCTGCGGGCTCGGTGGAGCTGACTGCTCCGCCATCCAGGCCGGTGGTAACTGTTATTACCCCAACACGTTGAAGGACCACGCCTCTTTCGCTTTCAATAGCTATTACCAGAAGAACCCTATCCCAAGTAGTTGCAACTTCCGTGGAACTGCTTTTGCTGTCGGCTCTGACCCAAGTGAGCAGCATTTTAGCTTTTGGCCCCATTGTCTTGGAAACTTTCTCTTTGCTCTGTTCAGTTCATGTCCGAAAGATATTAAGATAGCGAATCCAATCAGCTCTCTTGAATTGGTTACATATTCTGAAAATTGAATGACGTTTCTTGCATTGGACGACAGGTACAGGATCATGCCACTATCCTTCTACGAGGTGAAAGCCTCTCTCTCTCTCTCTCTCTACGAGCTTTCTCATCAATTTCTGCGTTAAATTCTACAAAGAAAATGGCCCATAAATTGGTTATGGATAAATCCATTTCGAATTAGGATAAATGATTTTGTTTTGCTGTTGCTTGTTGTGACAGCACAAGTGCATCAATATTGAACATAACAAACGCAGATGGGTTGGGGATTTTCGGCGGAGTTCCATCAAACCCTCCGTCTGATTCCGAAGCTTCGAGTTTTAGACGTTTCTCCCCTGTGCTTTTGTTGACATTTTTAACTCTTTGTTGTCTCCAAAGACCCTAACTGAACTGAGCTTTCTCTCTCTCTTGCTGTGTTTTATGAAAGCATGTTTCTTTCTACTCGCATCCAGATTTGAAATGCATGTATGTATGTATGTATGTATGTATGTATGTATGTATGTATGTAATTGGATTTTGACGATCTTAATGTAGATCATAACAAACTAGTGAATAATGACGTCTAATAACATGGCAAAATTTGCTATAAAAAAAAGGAAATATAATGTTGCATAATTTTATTTTATTTATAACATGCATGCCTACTTTGATTTTAACTTTTTTAGTTGATATGTTATATTTACACTATTGTTTTATAAGTTTTTTTTTCGAAATATCAAATATTAATTTTAAATTCATAAAAGAAATTATAGTAGAAGGCAACGAGGAGGCTAACCGATTCATGATTGGTATGACTTGTCGGATTCTTTGTACTCTGCTCTTCCATTTTCGTTGACTATCATTGACTTGCAAAGACAAATCCACACCCAAAAACAAAACAAAAAAGAACGAAGAAACTGCTTGCAAAGTAAGCGCCTTTGCTTGGAAGGAGACCAGAATCTTCGATCACCGTCGGAACCCCTTTTAAATACTGCTAACTGGGTTCCTTCTGCAACACGATCTCAGAGCTCATCAATGGCGGCGACGAACGACGGCGGCGTTGATGACGAAACCCTCTACGTTGCTCTGGGGAAGAACATCGAGGAAGGCAAGTCCACTCTTGTCTGGGCCTTGCAGAATCTCGAAGCCAGTGATGTTTGTATCTTACATGTTCATCGCCCAGTAACGTGTAAGCTCCAATTGTCGTTTCCCTTTCCCCCCTTAATGTCTGGCCACGAATGATGATGATGATGATTTGGGGATTCTGGTTCTCGCTCAAGCGAGAATTTTGTAGTGGGAAATCAGATGTGCGTATACTCGTCCTGTGAAGATTTTTGGGGTTACCTACTTAACTTTCACTGTTTGCAGGTGATAAGATCTTTTCGGTTGCCGAGCTTGAAGAGAATGATATCAGTGCTATCCGAGAAATTGAAACGAAAATTATGCGTAAGATCATGGATAGTTACCGTGAAATTTGCTGCACAGCAGGGGTAATTCCCTTGTCTCTTCCCTCTCTGCCTGTCCTGTATTGTCCTTTGAGTTTCTGACCAATCTCTTGTAATATTCGTGTTCATTTTCTTGAGTTACTATCTTGAATTTCTGTCCTTTTGGCATCCCCTTCATGCAGGTGAGCGCAACTGTTATTCACACAGTCAAAGACAATGTAGGGGAGGGGATAGTGGAGTTTGTGTACCAGCATTCCATCAAACACCTTGTTATGGGAGCAGCATCAGATAAGAACTATTCGCAGTGAGAACAACACTAGAAAACAAAAAAAATCTTTCTCTGCAGTTTCTTGAATGCCCTTGAGATGGTTGATGTTTCTTGTGAACCCAATGTGTAGACTCAAATCTTCAAAACAGTTGATTGGAGGCTGCTTTTATCGTCATTGTGCAGGGGGATGACTGATGTTAAATCAAGGAAAGCGAAATACACCCGTCAACATGCTCCTGTTTCTTGCCGCTTCTGGTTTGTTTGCCAGGGCCGTCTCATTCAGACAGGGTATATCCTCTTTTGTTTCCTCACATGTGGTCCATTGCCTATTGAGTGAAAGATGATCTGTACTGTAGCTGCAAGATTACATAGATACTCGATTCAGACAGTGCTTTTGTGTCCATGGGTGATGTCTTTACAGGAACGGTGATGTTGAGCAAGACATTGATACGGGGCATCAGCATGAGAATGAAGCTAATGCATTGTATCGCGAGGAAAGGCAACTGAGGCAAGAAGCTGAAGAAGCATTAGGAAAAGAGAAAGAAGAGCACACCAAGACAAAGCGTGAGAGAGACAATCTGCTGGTGGAGCGTGACAATGCTCTCAAACTAACCGACGAGCTTTTGGGGAAACAAGCAGAAGGAGCTTCCACAAGCCTGTCTGCTTCTACACCTCCTCACCGGTTCTATTGTGAGTTTTCTGTTCAAGATATCCAAGAAGCCACTCATAATTTTGACCCTTCCTTGAAGATTTCTGAAGGAGAGTATGGAAGCATTTACAGAGGTTTGCTTCATTATACACCTGTGGTCATACAACTACTGCACCAGCGCCCCAGGGAAAATCTTGTGGAGTTCCAGCAGAAGGTATGGATGGTACTAAAAGTTTTTGTTTCATATCAATGGCGTTATGCTCAAGTGAAGGGAAAAAAAAAGTCGAAAACAGGGATATTCTACCTTGTAAACAAACACACAGCAGATGAAATTTAGAGCTTTAGAATGAAACATTATCTGATGACATACACATACTTGTCTTCCACTTCCAGGTTGAAGTTCTGAGCAAATTGAGGCACCCAAACCTAGTTACTTTCATGGGTGCCTGCTCAGAGCTTTCGGCTCTCGTGTTTGAATATCTCCCCGGTGGAAACCTCATGGACAGACTCAGTTGCAAAGATGACAGTCCTCCACTCTCTTGGAAAACCCGTATACGTATAGCCACCGAGTTATGCTCTGCCCTCGTCTTCATAAGCTGCACAAACCCACATGGAATACCTCACAGCTGTCTCGATGCACAAGCTATCCTTCTAGACGAAAACTTCAGTTGCAGAATCAATTACTTTGATATCCATCACTGTGACGAGGAAGAAGCATCCCCAGAGTCAGACATTCATCCTTTCGGTGTAATCTTGCTACAGCTGTTGACGGGTAGATCATCGTCCTCTGATATTGTCGAGGAACTGCAAGCCGCAATAGAAGAAGAATCTCTAGAAGCATTGTTGGACTCTTCAGCCGGGGAATGGCCGTTTCTTCAAGCTACTCAATTGGCCCATCTGGGTCTTAGGTGCTGTGACCCGGGTGGCTCGGGTCTTCCCGATCTCTCTTCAGAGGTTAGGAGCATTCTTGAACCCATGAAGGCATCTTGTGGTGCTTCAACATTAACATTGTTCCACGATGGCATCGAAGAAAGACGACAACCTCCTCCATATTTCATATGCCCCATCTTGCAGGTTAATACACAAACAGCTCTTTCATCATCATCATGTTACAAAAACCGGCACGAAATAGTTCAGTTGCTCTGAACTCATGGAATGCGTTACCATTGTTGCTCGTTTGAGTCAATTCACACGGTCTTGTGATAAAAGATCCAAGATACCGTCATCTGAAAAGAGAAGTTTCTTTGTTTATAACGTCACTCCTCTCGTGGTTTTCGCAGGAAGTGATGAAAGATCCACAAGTTGCAGCGGATGGATTCACGTATGAAGCTGAAGCCATTAAGTCATGGCTGGAGAGCGGTCACGACTCTTCTCCTATGACAAATGCAGTGCTCCAACACAGCGATCTTGTCCCTAACCATTCTCTGCGGTCAGCCATCCAAGAGTGGCTTCAACAGCCTTGAAGTTGGATATACATATATATAGTACGTGTGTGTGTGTGTATGTAAAGGTTTCATTGCAGTGTTGGCCTCCAAACTGTACTTGTTTAGAATCAACAACTTCTCCATCTTCTATAGCAATGGTGGATGTTTGGTTAGAAACAAGAAAGTTATGTTTCATTAATGAAAAACAGTTTGTGTTTAGGTGATTGTTGGAAGGCGATTATCATCACTTCTGCCATTATTAATGGTGGAAATTAAATTCAGTATACAGCCTCGGGATCTTCACAGATTATAGACGAAGTTGAAAGCACATGTTCCATGCATCATTCGTCTCTGGAGGAAAAAAAAAAATCTAAGTCTAGAAAGCAAAACCCTAATGAAGGACTCCACAAAAGCTACAGTTTATTTGACGGTGCCTTCATTTCCCGCAAGAATCATGTACTTATCCTTCCTTGTGAGATTAGTACACTCAAATCCCAAAACCCTAGCTATTTCTCTCTGTATAAGGTTTGCAACTTCGAGGCTTGATCTTCCTTCTCCACTGCAAGTCATCTCCCTGGGCAGTTTCTCAAGAACCTCCAAGAAATAATGAGGGTTAGGGTTCATGAGGAAGAAGATGGGATCCAACCATTTGAGCCCACTTGCGGTGGTCCCATAGAACATGCTCACGTGCGTGTTCACAGCCACAGGGACAATGTCCTCTGCTAGCTCCGCAAACAAAGGACTGAACCTCAGAAGATAAGGCTCTCTGCAAGTCGTTCCCTCGGGACAGACCACCAGATCTCCTCTACTCAGCAGTTTACGCATCTTCTCCCCGTCTTTTTCCCTGTCTCTCCTCAGCCTGACTGTCTTGATGGGCGATATAGCCTCGGAGAACTTACTTAGGCTGTAAGTAACAGCCGTCAATGGCTTCCCGAGGTTTCCGCTGAGGAAAACCGGGTCTAGAAGCGTTCTGTGGTTACAAACGTACAAGACACCGCTCTTGTTCCAGTCAGAACCGAGGTTCTGAGCGTTGAACGTCGTCACGAGACCTGACAAGTAAACCAGGGCATGGCATGCTTCGTACGGAAGGAGGATTCCGACCAAGATCCTGAAGATGGCGAGGAAGATGCCGAAAGGGAGCCATAAGTACATGGAGAGAGTTGCTAACGGCGTTGGCACAAATGCAAGTCTTCCGTCATGGAAGATCAATGGTTTCGGGTATCTCTCTCTTGGGAATGGTAATGGCTTCGAGCTGTTCTTGGCGTCATCTTCTTCATCACTCCACACACAAGCTTCCTGTGACAAAATCAAGAAACCCATAGCAAAGAGACGAAGGACCCAATTAAGCATATTAATTAATTGATTTAAAGAATTGCCAAAGCTCACATAAATCGAATCCAACTGGTTATGGTTATGACTTCTCATAACCAAATCGAACCAACCCAACCGAATAAAACATAACTCTAACCGAACCAAATTTGACTGATCGATTATGATTTCTCTAAATCTAAAAAACCGAACTGAACCGAACAAAAAAATAACGAAAAAAAATCGAAAATTTCTTTAAAAAAATAAATTTTGTATCAATAAAAAATGAATCTGAAATGGAGTAAAATAAAACCGAACCGAAATTGATATAAAATCGGTTATAATTTTTCTATAACCGAAATGATCCAATCCCAATATAACCTAACCGAACCCCTCGGTCAGATGCTTTAAAGGCAGAAGGAAAAGGGCGTCCATGTGTTGTGGGGACTTCATATTATGGCAACACGTAATATATGTACATGCCAAACTCGGTATAAATTACTTTGGCCAGCTTAAATCACAGACTTTTTTCAATGGATTAAGGGGACACACGAGGTTAAGTAATTACCTTGCAAATGGAGATGAAGAGGTGATCTTGAAGGCTCGAAGAGTTTCCAATCCCAAGCTCAGGCTTCTTCTTCTTATCAGAGAAATACTCTACGGCTGCTTTGTGTTTGACGACGAAACCAGACCCTGAAGCTAAGCCGGTGTAGAATCTCCTCCCCATGATTTCTATCTCCTGCAGTTTGGTCCCTGTCACATCATCTGCATTCATATACTCCCTGAGGAAGCCCTCGACCATCACCTTGGGCAGGCTTGTGAACACAACTCTTGACCCAGCCTCGACCCAAATGTCGTAAACTTGACGATTCAAGTTCTCTAGGTAAAACTTGGGCAGAACAGCTCTTGCGACGTAGTCCATGTCCTTAACCCTAAACCCAGCAAAGGTGATGAACGACAGGACCCTGAGCTTCTGGTCATCGTCCAAAAACCAGAGAAAGGAACAGGAAAGTAACAAGAGAAACGCCCTGATTATGCTCCCGCCTTCGAAGGCGACAAGCATGAAGTAAGGGAAGAAAGAGTGGAAGTATCTGCTCGAAGATTGTCTTAACAGGACACCGTCGATGTCGCAGACCAAGGTTTTGTCAGGGACCCAGTTTCGGATTTCAAGTTTTGTGATGCTCGGGAAGAGAGTTGGAGGGCTTATTTGGAAGTGATTATCGTGATGGGTTTGTTGGAAAGGTGAAGACTTTGAGAAACTGAGAAGACTTCTCAGCTTTCTTGCAGCTTTGTAACAAGAGTTGGCTAGTAGATGGTACAGAAACCACTCTGCAAGCTTCCCCAGAACCATCGGAAACACCATGGCTATGGTTTCAGAGAGACAGAGAGAGAGAGAGATTTGTGTTGGAGAAGACGAAGAGGTTGCAGAGGCATATATATGTGTGTGTGTGTGTCTGAGGTTTGACTAAATTTGGTTAGGACACCTCTCGCATTAACTGTCCGCCACAACGTTCTGGTTTTTTCGCTTCTTTTTTTTTTTTTTGTTCTTTCATGTAAAAGTGTTTTCTTTGCCACAAAATTGAAAACACCTAAAGAAAAACAAAAAAAAAAGACTTTTGAGGAAATGAATGTTTTTTAACGCAATAACCTAATCCGAATATAATTTAAACTAAATAAAAAGTAATACATAAAAATAGAAATTGTTATAAAACAAAAAAAAATAGAATATGTGCTTTTAGATACAACAGCAAGCTAAAGTTCATAACTACTCCATTAATGTTGTAATGAAATTATTATTTTTCCTGTCTTGATTTAAATCAAGAAAACGTTTGTTATTCCATCGTTTTGCTTATGAATATCGTTTTGAATCGAACTTTAATAAATATCGTTCAAACGAGATGTTGTTCCCTTTTGAATGGTGTGTAAATGTTTGTTGGCGGTTGCAAAATAATTTGTAAATGCAATTCTTGTTAGACAAAATTATATAAATTATCTGTACTATTACTATATATTATTATTGAAAAAAAAAACAAATATAATTACACGTGTAATACAACTGTTTGACGTTATGATTAATATCTTACTTTTGGTAAGATATATTCAACCGTGATGTTTATCGTCAACCACAGAAATATTTTAAATCGATTGAAATCTCTTTTTTTTTGTCTTAACGGCAATTTTATTTTTAGAGATTTTTTTTTCTGACGAATAACGACAAAACTATTTAAATAATGATTTGACTATAACTAAATTACAATCAGCATAGAGAATCGTGAATTGCATGGTTGGAAGACAAAGTTCTTTGACTTTCTTTTACAATGGTCAACTTTTTACCAGATAATTACGGTATCGGATTATTTTTTTAAAATTTTTTTTGACATAATTACGGTAATGAAGCACTTAATGTTGAAATCTAAAAAATGCTCTAAAAGCTTAGGAAAAAGTTCAGAGTAAAAATAGATTGAAGTTAAATCTCAGACATCCTATAACTAATTAAAATAAGAAAAAAAATCGTATATAAATACCTAAAATTTTTAAAATTTTTTATATAAATACTCAAATTTTTAAAATTTTATTAAATAAAACCAAAATCTATTAACGGTGTTAAACTTATAATGAAATCTGTCGATAATTGGTGATTTAACCGTCAACGAATATTGTTTTATTTGATAAATTTTTAAAAGTTTGTATATTTATATAGAAATATTGAAAAATTCAGGTATTTATTTAAGAATTTTATAGTTCAGATATTTGTTTGAAATTTTTATAAAAATTTAGATATTTATATACGATTTTTACTTTAAATAAAGAATAGTGAAATTTTGGAGGTATCCTGATATTTTTCTTACATTACACTTTAATTGCCGGGTTGTTACGTAAAAGTTTATTTATATAACTATATGAACTCTAACCATATGAATATCACAAACGTTGAGATATATGTATGTATATATATATATAGTTGGTTTGGAAGTGTGAATGTAAATTAAATGCTGCATTTTCGGTTTTTAAAAAAGTGAATGAATACAAAATATATGGTATCAAGCAAAATATTCAACGTCAACTACATGAACATGTTTTTAACTGCCTTTGTCCCCATAATATATACAAGATTATACACTAACATTGATTGTAAATAAAATAAATAATTTTAAAAAAAAAATTAAAAAAATAAATAAATAACTGAAAATTCGACCGAGTCAACAAAGTGCGTTACTCATTTTTCACCTAAGCTCCTTTCCCTCCGACATCATCGCATTTCATTTTTTTTTTTTTTTTGGATTTGGACAGCGAATAGCAAGTTACCGACCACGTAATTACCCGTTTTAAATATAACGGCCCGTATCTTGGATGTGCAGTAACTGTTACATGTTGGAGAGAGAGAAACCCTCGACCGTCCATAGTTCTCAAGCTCATCTCAGCCGTCCAAAGTCATGAATTCTCAGCCGTCCGTTGGTTGGAAGATCAGGCTGATCTGAACGGTAAACAATGAACAAACAGCGGTTCGTGTAAAAATCTTGCAGAAACCCTAACCGAATCGAGCCGCAAAAACAGTGTTTCTCCGTTTTCTCGGGAAATCTATCTTTTCTCTTCACAATTTTCCCGGAAAAACTGAGTGATTCTGTTTGTGTAGGATCTGCCGGAGATGGCAGAAAGAAGAGATGAAAGAGAAGGAGAAGGAGATTGACGGAAGAAGAAGAAGAAGAAGATGGTCGGCGGCTGGCTTTTTGTGGGGTTTTTGTCTGGAACATGTGTTTCCACTTGAGAAACTTGTAACCCAAGTAATTGAAAGAACATTGTTTTCAGTTTATTTCTTCATACACAAAACTCATGGTAAATCGAAACACAGAGGACAGCAAACATGACAGAGCAAAACAAAAATCTCACATCACACATACATATATATGTAATCAGAAACAACATTCTTGAACTTGGAAGCCATGTCTTTACAGAGCTCGGCCTCTCTCTCTGGTCTTCATATGGGATTCCCAGTTGTGTTATCATCCATCTTCTATGATATTTTCCGTCATTCATGTAGCGGATGTTTTGAGAAGATCAAGAACTCCGCAACAGTTCTTCCACCAAGGCGTTGACTCCACTGCCCTTTCTCCAGACGCTAACAATGGCTGCAACAAAACAAAACCCATTAATTTCTCCTTTTCTGTCATATCGTTTTCACGCCGATTCCTTTCCATTAACAAGATTCAAGAAGATCTGATCTGGGCTTTATGATTCGGGTCTGACCTGATTATCCGCGGAGACAGTAACATCACGAGACGCGGCAGAATCAGCACTGCCAGAGACCCCAGCGGCCGCATGCTTCACAGCTTCGACGAGTTTGGAAGAAACCTCTCCCTTTTTCTCCTCGAGACTATGCAGCAGCGATTTCGCTCCTTCGATCCCTCTCGACACCGCCCCGTCCACCGCATCCTTCACCTGCATCACATTAATTTCTCCTCTTTCATCTTTCAGGCTTCAACTCAAAATGGCATTTTCAGAATGATGCGGACGCATATCCATATACCTGAGGAAGGAGAGAATCGGCGAGCTTCTTAGGGGCAGACGAGGCCTCGGCCTTGACCGTTTCGACGGAGGCTTCGAGGGTTTCTCTGGCATGGCTGACAGTCGAGGAGGCCTCCGTCTTGGCCGTCTCGACGGTTCCCTTAGCCTTTTCGGCCGAGGCCGAGACCCTTTGTTTGACCTGGTCCACGGCCGAGGCAGCCTTGTCCAACAGAGCGTCCATTTGTTTTTCGTCTGTCTCTCTTCGCCAACGCAAAGGCTAAGGAGGAAGAAGAAGAGATATATAAAGAAGACGAGACTTTTTTCTTTGTCTATTTTTGTTTCGCAAAAAAAAAAAAAAAAAAAAAAA